ATGGTAAAATATTAATTATTAATTGAATAGATGGGTTTATAATTAATTATTAAGTTTTTTATTATTTAATAAATATATAATGTTTTATAATTTAGTGTAAAATAGTTTTTTTAATTAATGTTGTTACTGGGACTAATTAAAAAGAAGTTAAAAAAATTATAAACTACAATTTTGTTTAACGCTTCTTTTATTTTAAAATAATAATAATTTTTTATTTTAAATTTATTTAAATTAATTGTTCTTTTTTATTTTTTAAGATAAATAAATATTTTTTCTTACTTTAACCCTATCATTATTCATTTACTTTAATTAATCATCTAATCACAAAAGATCTCTTTTTATCTTTTCTTTTTTGCAAGATATTATAAATAAATATTTTTAAATCGTTAATTTAAAAAACTTTAAAAAAAAGCAATTATTTTAAAATGAGCTCTCTTTTTTTCAATCTAAATTGAATGAAATTTTTTAAGATAAATTCATTATTTTAATTAATCATCTAATCACAAAAGATTTCTTTTATCTTTTATTTTTTTGCAAGATATTATAAATAAATATTTTTAAATCTTTAATTAAAAAAACAATTATTTTAAAATTAGCTCTTTTCTTTTCCAATCTGAATTGAATAAAATTTTTTCACTTCTTTTATTTTGGGATTACATTTTACTGCTTTAAAAAAAAAAAATAGTTTACTTCTAATTTTTTTATATTAACCTCATGAATGACTTTATTTATTTGGACGTTTTTCACACTTTTCACATGAATGACTTTATTTAAAAGGACGCATGGCGTGAAGGAATTTACTTTTTAAAGAAAACTATACCATAAGAATGAAAGCAAAAATGAGGAATGTCATACTTGGCTTCATTCCTCATTTTTGGTATCGTTTGACATTTTCATAATTTGACGTAATCAAGGAGAAACCAAATTTCACTTTTTCTTTTGATCCGGACTACAAGCTATCATGAGCATACACAATACAGACAACAGAGTACAAATTTGACTTTAAAACATAGTACTAAATATATAAATTAATAAAAACCTTTAAAAACTCCACATATATACATCTGACCTTTTTAAATTTAATGACATTAATCAGAATAAATAAGTGCACCCATCTTTATGCGAGAACCCCCATGCCAAATTGTTAAAAAAAAAAAAAAATCCACACACATGATACGATGAGAGCGTAAATTTATAACTTTAATATTGTTGTGTTGTGAAATTTCAATCTCTAGATTTGATTGGAGGCCTCGTTAACGGAATCAACTTTTT